GATATTATATTTACATAAAGTCGGGAAGTAGAACCTATGCGTCAACCTTATAGTACTAGATAGCCTTTTGTTCGGAATATTGCCCTCGATCAGCGGTATTTAATTGATATGATATGTTCGTTGATTCTCCAAAACGTTTAATGAGGTCAATTATGTTGAACTTCTTTACAAAGTCAGATCTCTAGGAAATCTCTAGGAAGTGGACAAGATTTATGAAATGCTTCGAATCATATCTATCATCCGAAATAAATGTCGGTACGAATAGGAAGAGAGTTTTCAGACTGGCTTTACTGCAAAAGTGGAGTGTGCCTCGAAGCGGAGGGCTCTCTCCACTGCTATGTCTAACCTTATATTAGATAGCCTTTTGTTCGGAACATTGCCCTTAATCAGCGGTATTCAAATGATATGATATGTTTGTTGATCTTTCCAAAACGTTTGATGAGGTAATTATGTTGAACTTCTTTACAAAGTCAGATCTCTAGGAAGTGGACAAGATTTATGAAATGCTTTGAATCATATCTATCATCCGAAAGAAATGACGGTACGAAAAGGAAGAGAGTTTTCAGACCGGCATTGCTGCACAAGTGGAGTGCGCCTCGAAGCGGAGGGCTCTCTCCTCTGCTATGTCTAAGGCACATCTAAAAACTTAGTGGAGTGTGCCTCGAAGCGGAGGGCTCTCTCCTCTGCTATGTCTAAGGCACATCTAAAAACTTTCAAGGAATCAAAGTCCAACTTTATGCTGATGTCGGCAGGATGTATGGTATCTATATTACCAATAATAACGTCGATGCGCAGTGTGCTGTAAATCGATGAATTTCTAACATACTATGCTGAGCTTGGGAGTGGGAGTGAACGTTAATCCACCGACCTTTTGTTTTTTATTTGGGAGAGTACCCGCCTGGTGAATATAAAATCAATGATATTTTTCTGAAAATCTTCAAATCTGTGAGAAATCTGTGTAATGGTTGGGTCGGAGCGAAATTTCTTTAAACACATTGATCTTGTAAATAAGGCTTTCGGTGCACTTCTTCCTCTTTTTCGAAGTACTCTATTAACAGATCCAGGGCTTTCGGTGCACTCCTTCCTCTTTTTCGAAGTACTCTATTAACAGATCCCTTCCTCTTTTTCGAAGTACTCTATTAACAGATCCTAAAATTCTGTTTCGTTTATGCAAAACATATGTACTACCGCATCTTGAATACTGTTCTCAAATTTGAAGCCCATTGCAGAAAAAAAACCATGTCATCAAACTTGAAAAAGCTCAAGGAATGTTCACTAAACTCTTGTTCCGTCCGAGTATATCCAGGTTTGTCCTGTGGTAGTTTGGTGAGTCACAAAGAACGTTTAGGCAAGTTAACATGATGACTCTCAAAAGGAGGCATGTCATAGGGGGCTTTGTTTTTTGCTCCCGTCTTCTACATATGGAAGTTAGACTACCTGCGAGCAAGTGTTGGATCTTTAGGTCGGCTAATGGAAGATCAGATGGCTTCATCTGCACTGTGCCAATTTGGATAGGAAAATCGTGGTCATTTGCACAACGTTGTCCTCTATCGTTGCGCTAGATGGGTGCAGTCTTACCTTCTGATGTGCTTTCTGCTGAGACAGTCAAATGTCTAGGAGTATAGGGTGCGCCATAAATATGGTAACAAACAAATTGGCCCCCAACCGCAGTTCATATTGACACATGGTGAATCTTAGGAGTTATTTTCTGTGCATCGCATCAACAAAACAAACACACGGTCATCTTATCCTTCCTTACTATATATAAAGCGCTCGCGTCTGTCTGTCTGTCTGTCTGTCTGTCTGTCTGTCTGTCTGTCACGAAATTCGATACTACTCAAAGGAACACCTGGAGAGGTCGGGTCAAGTTTGGGATGGGTTGAGCATAGGTCAAGACCAACAGAGCACACGTGAGCTCAGCGGAGCTCCGCCCCCAAGGGGCGGGTCATGCGCCGGAGGTGGGCGAGGCCATGAGCAAGTTCTTCCAATACGCTCTCATAACAATCCAGGCACCGGGAAAAAAGTTCGAAGGTGAGGGATGGTTCAACAACTAAGATGAAGGAAACTTATCGGCGGTGGGCGGAGCGTTCTCGCAGTGGGCGGTACTTTCAATAGAGAATCATAACTCGATTCAACGAAAGCGTCGAGGCCAGAAAAAAAGTAAATGGAGTGGGCAAGGCCTTATGCGTGCTGGGCGTGCGTAAGCTCAGAAAAGCCCCGCCCACGGTAGGCGGGGCGTGCGTTAAGGTGAAAGCTGCTTTTTAAAAACGAGTGTAACTTCGTTCGGAAACGTTCTAGAATGCGGGAAAAAATGGTTAGAGGTAGTGGAACAAATGTGGTCTAGAAGTGGGCGGGGTCGGCACCAAAGTGGGTGGGGCTTAAACCAAAATCTCATAACTTTGTTCAGAAACATTCTAGAACGCGGGGGAAAAGTGGGAACAGGTAATGGAACAAATGTGGCCAAATTCTCGAAGTGGGAGGGGTTGGCACCAGAGTGGGCGGGTCTTAGATCAAAATTTCATAACTCTGTTCAGAAACGTTCTAGAACGCGGGGGAAAAGTGGGAAGAGATGATGGAACAAATGTGGTCAAATCCCTAAAGTGGGCGGAGCCGGCACAGGAAAGCGGGACTAGGACCAAAAACTCATCCCTTCAAAAACTTTCTAGAATGCGGAAAAATGGTTAGGAACAGTCAAAAGAAGGGTGGTCAAGTTTATAGTGGTTAGGGCTTGCACTAAAGTGGATGGAGCTATGGCCAACCGCTCATAATTCCGCTCAAATGAAACATATCGAGCGTGATTCTCTCAGCAGTTCAGCGTTCGAATCTAGAGAGAACTATCTTCTTCTGATCATCCAAAATTCCCCTGAATGACTCCATCGTGGGTGAGTGGCCGTCGACATATACCGCACGCGCTAGCGTGCATAGCCGAACTGGTATAATATAACCGTCTACTGTACCAATTATAGCTCGAAGACGTTACTACTACTCATCGACGGTGACACGCAGAATCACTTGAGAAACTCTAGCCTGAGCTTTTTCCGATGATTTCTTAGAAGCAACAACAGTAGTGCGTTTTAAAGCGCAGGTTTTCTTCTCCACTATGGCCTATATCCAACGACTCATCACACTGGTCCGGGGAATTCGCAGGAGGATTGGAATGTAGGATAAAGTCGAGAACTTTCCCACAGCACCACTCTTGTATACAACCGTATTTACTCGGGGTGGACTCTTCTCATCGGAGTAGAACATACAAACAGATCAGCACACATTTTTCTCGCGTTTCTGCAGGTTCTGCAGCGTACTCCTTCCAAATCAAATATATTCGGGAAAGAGGTCGTGTGTGAGACAAGATGACCGTTTGAAGCTTTGTCGTTGTCCTGCCTACGCATCGCGTTTCAGAGACTGCCATGTGAGAAATGTTGAGACGAGGAGCGTCCCGGAAAAGAACTCATCAAATGCGCCCACAGACGGAATGGTTGGTGAATGTCTGCGAGGCTATACCGTTTTTCGAAATTTGACGAATGAGAGCACCAAAGTAGATAAGTGGGTTAAGGTATATCGTAAATATAAGGGAAGGTGCAGATTTAGAGAAACCCTCGAACGAGGAAATTACGGACGTTCTAGAAGTTGTTACCATATTTATGGCGTACCCGGTACATTGAGAAAAATCGTTATTCTAGAACTGTTTGGTGCGGAAGACTCGTGTTAACCTGTAGATGAATTCACTATTACAGTTATCTATTTCTTCTTGTAGGCGATTCTATGTCAGAGGTTTTTCCTGCCCTGCGAGGAGTTGTGAAGATTAATAATGATAAAAACATGCCGAGGATCCTGTTTCATTCACTAGATGTCAAAGTGCAATCTGTAATTTCATATACCTATTATTTATTTATCTATTTTCTGCTTGATGTGATGTGGCTATGAAACTCTCTGGACAGCTTGCTCTGCAAACACGGTCTTTCTACCCTCGATCGTTTCCGTTACTGCCATTCCCTTTCTACAACTAACTGCAGTGGTCAGAGTTATGAGTGAATAGCTGAGTGTTGTTTCTTCTTCTTAAGGATGTTGGAGCCATAAATGACATCAACGGCAATTTAAAGGAGAAAGTCTCTGGGAGTTGTTCAATTCCGTGTTCAACTCCCATTCAGAATCATTGTGGCGTATGTAGCCCATACAATGAATTGCGGTGGTCAGCCAATGTATAAGCAGTGCTTTTATCCTCCCAGACGGGCCTGGTAGCAAACAATCAACCCCGGAGAGATGGAAAGCTTGGTTGGCCTAAGCGGATATCGATCCGGGATTCGAACCCGTGGTCATGCGTGTGTGATAGTGCGCCACTTGCCATTACACCACCTCAGCCAAGTAGAAACACACTAGCTTTTATTTTACTTTTATTTTATTTTATTGCTATGTAAATGCAAGTATGATATTAAATATGTGTAGAGGGAAGCACTTTTGATGAAGAGTATTATGAAGTTTGTTTATTTATCTATTATTATGAAATGTGGGTCTTCGTATATTCATTATACATATTGTACCAAAGCCAATCATTCGATCTTACTCCCGTAATCTTCACATACTGTGTATAATTGTGTCTGGCCAATATACGACGTGCGAGTTTTTCTGTGTGTACTAGTCTTGCTGTTTTGCTATTGTGTTTTGCTGGTAGCGTACTTGAGGGCATAAAAAATAAAAAAAAATCTTTCTGAGTCGGTGAAAGCGTTCTTCTAAATGATTCAGAATTCTCGCCAACCAATTTCTAGTGGTTTCTTATACACGATCTATCTTGATAGGGCTATCAAGCTACTACACCACTCACATCATAATTGGGAATTATCATTATAATCGGACACTGTTTCACTTTTTTTCTGAAGCGGATGAAATGTTTGGTAAGTAAGAGATCTGTGCAGGTGGACTTTTGTGTGAGAAGACATGGAGCCAAAAAACTTGCAATAATCTTTATTGAATAATTAATTCGTAGTGAATGCCGGAGAACCGTTTCACTTTTTATCAACCGTATTGATCAATGACATCAGTTTGTTGAGATGTGGTGAGTTGGCTGCCGATTGCGTTGAGGCTGGTAGTAAGGAAACAGGATTTTCTGAAATGACTCTATACCCTGCACTACTTTATGATATTGTAGAATAAAGCTGTCTCAAAACACCTTTCACGATAATTCTGAGTTTAGTTTCACGACATTTAATGGAGCAGGATAGAGCAAAGCAGGCGATAAAACGCAAAAAAATTGACAGATTTGAAGAAGAAAAGGTCTTGAAAAATAAGTAAAAAGGGGTTGTACAGGAAAATGACGACAGAAGTAGCATGAAATGGGTATTCAGGTAAGCTGACAGTTGTGGGCCACTGGGAATAGCTGGCTACAGTAAGCCGAAAAAAATGTTTTCCCTTGTCGTCATGGTTTAAGAATAGCTATCAAAATTCTCAACATGAGGGCTACATTGTGAATGGTGCAGCTTATTCAATGCCTCTGAAACAGTGTCACCTCTTAGTATTCCGCAGCGGATACGATATTTGAGCCGTTTTTACGCCCCACCTAGGCCGTTTTTCGATGTCACAGCACCCCATATGGCTTACACAGGNTCGGGAGCCGCTATTATTGCGACTTTTGATTTAGCATATTCATCAGTACTGCCGTATGAATGAGGTGAAAATGCATTTGGGGAAAGGGATGGCTCTTTCCTAAACCCAACGGCAGAGAGCAGAGCAGAAGGTGTGAGGGCCTGCAATAGTGCTTGGAACGTTTTTATCCGGGAGGATATAGTTTTTAACTGGGCCTCAGGAGGGCTAAAATACTATTCCTGCTTAGAGAGCATCACTACAGGCCTGCAAAGTCGACTACCCCTGTTCTCTGCGTGCTAGCCCGTCACGTTGAAGAAGGGAGCCCCCCTCTCCAATTACATTTCACCATGTACGTTTGATTTTAGGGGTAAAAGAGTTCACAGTAATTAACAAGTTGGCAGAAAGATGTGTCTGGCTCAATTCCGCTTTTCAAGCCAAATGATTTGGGCGGAATTCCCGGAACCCTTTGTGCCCTTGTGGTTGAATGAACAGAAAAGCCCAGAAAACTAGGCTCGGATGAGATTTTTTTCGGTCATGCTCACCTTCGTCCCTGACGACCCGAATATTTTTTAGCCAATCCGAGCTCGTTTTCACATCGTGCACTTCTTTAAGATGTTTGTCGATGTTCGTGGGAATCTACAAAAAGTATGTGAGAAAAGTAGGGGAGGAAACAGATAAAGTCAGTCGCTATCAAGAAATTCCTACCTCTCCACATTTGACGCATGCCAATTTCACACCGTCAGATTTCATCTGCAACTTTAGGTTCAGCACTTTCTGACGATCCATTTGGATCAACGAGCTGAAACCAGGTATACATGAGACATCTATAAGGACTAATGCAATGACAATAGCAAATATACAGTACTCTGTATTGATCAGCGACTTTTCTACCATTTTCAGCAAAACATTGAAATTTGTGATACTTTGGAACCTCTTTTTCTACCAAAGAAATTGCTAGATGAAACGGTTCAGTAAGCCAGTTTGCCCGATGATGCAATGCCCTTCCAGAATATGCGGTTTCAATGTGGTGTTCAAAGCTCGCTATAGCTCATCGAAGGATGAATTCCTGGGCTTTAATCAATCCCGTTAGAGGGATGTGCCCACGCATTTGCTTTGCCCAAATGGATTCTCAACTCTCAACTTGCCACCACCACCTCCACCCTCACTAGAGTTTATTATCGCCATTAACCTGGAGCAAGAACCGGAGAAGGATGTTCGCTGTTCCTAGAAAGTGAATAGCATCGTATTCTTGTTTTGGCTTGGCCCTTTTTTCAATGTGGCTTCTAGTTTTTAGCCGCTTAACTTGATCATTCATTGTGATTGTGACGGACAAGAATTTTGAGATCGGGACCTTCTTCCAGTCATTCGTTGAGTAAGACTAAAAGGCGACTATCTGTCGAGAAGTACGTCATACGAATCGAACCATAAACATTCTATATGAGCGTAATATGTAGAAAGTCCGAGACCAAGGGTAAAGACTGTGTAGGTGCAAATACAAGACGGAAAACAGTGAGAAAGGCGGCGATAGCGAGCATAGTTTTTCTGCTTGTACAAGGAACCATCTATGCACCTTATTCCTATTAATGAAGGGAATAAGTCCAAACAGTTCCACAAGTGGGCGGCAGTTCTTTACTAGTTGTCGCGCTACGACAAATCACTTCACATAGTTTCCGCACCTCTCAGCTTATTAAGGTCTACACTATGGTTTGCATTCCATTCCGATACATCCTCTGAGGAGAACTTATTGACTGAATCTGCAGTCTGTAAATAGTAAGCTAGTACTTTTTGAAGTTAATTTTGAGCATTGGGTGTGAAGCCCGTAACCTGTCCCCCTTCTATCTCCTAGTCCGTTGGTGTCTTGTCGGTAACGATCAAGAACAATCTCCATCGTCACATCGTTCAAATCTTTACAGCTAGGACGCTTAGGCGCGCTTCAACCTTCATGCTCACAGCCTGATCATAAGATTCAACGCCTTCAAGGCTATCTAACATACATGTCATCACATTTTCTCTGTGTTTCATTCCAGCCATTTTTATGCCCTACCCGCCCACGATGATAAAATAAACTATTTGACCACAATCACCAATATTTTCTTCCTATCCATACACTCTGCATATCAAGAACTGTGTCCCTTCGAGTGAACATCGAGGGGGCATTGTTTTCAGTATCAGATGCCTGGTTAATTGTCAAATCTGTCGTCTGAGCGCGGTTGCAATTTGTTCTGAGTAAGCAAGATACCTGTAAGTTTTTGGAAGATTGTTGAAATGTTGTGTGTCCTGCATGTGCCTAACCAACAACTCCATAGTTTGAAATGTTCGACCACATTGTAGACATTTCAAAATCGAGTCGACGTCTGCGTCTCGTCGTTGTGGAGCTGAAATGACGTTGGTGATTATTTCTTTTTTTTTTGAATTTTCAAACGCATAAGGGACAAGTCGAGACTCGTCGAAGGCTTCTGACCACAGGATCACTGAAGCCGTTGCATTCTGAAATGGCGGTCCACCACTTGACTGTATCACCCGTCCCAACTTCGATCTCATGCTTGAGCAGGCACCCGAAACGCTTCTATTCAATCTCGTTCCCACTCAGAACGATCGATATCGTTCCTCTTTTCAAGAGCCTTTACAGCACAACTGATTCTGTCCAGTAAACTTGCGGGCAACCTGGTGCTTGTGCGACATTCTGAGGGACCTTCTTACTAATTGTCGTGCAGCTGTTGTCACAAGCTTATCTGCAGAAGCACAGTCAGAACCTTTCAAATGTAAGTCGGTTCAAAAGAAGCGCGGTATCTAAACCGGATCGAATTCAACTAGCACTCGCTCGATTGCCGAAGGTATGAGCATGATGTCGCCTTGACTGCAGAAGTGATGTGATGGCCAATCAACAATCTCTAAGCACTTGCATTTCCATTTCAAGTGGCTTCTTACATTATTATGACCGAATTGTTCAGGCAAAATGACTGCGACTTGACCTCTCTTTTTACGTCGATGACGACTTTTCTGGAGAATGGAGAGATTCTGGTTGAGAAGTTGTTCAGGAGCTAAAGCTTTCCTACGAACTGACTACGATAAGAGGGCTTGGATAAGCGCTTCAGTCCGAACAGCGTCCAAGGCTTTTTCAGGAAAGTGAACTTGAACAGGATCAAACTATACCGGCATGTCATAATGACCTTAGTGAATTTGGGAGTTGCAGGGAATAGGATTGACTGTGGTAGGACTCCTTCAGGGCTGTACCTGTTCGCAAGGTGTTTCATACAGTGTTGTACCCACTACCAAATTTGTTGAAGATACTGGTTTGAATGGTTTGTAGACTAGGAGACTAGGGAAGCAGACAGACTGTTACACAGATTGTCAGTGGCAAATGAGGGTATCGACTGCGAGAGGAAGAGTAACTGAGGCACCGACATATAGTCCCGACCCATTGTCAGGTAGTGCATAAGTTGACTCGGCTGTTGAACAAGATAAAGAAGTCGCGGATGAATTTCACTATTGCCCCCTCAGATTGTAGTGGTTCTCTCGCTCGAGTGTCTGAGGCATACAATTTTTTGGATTCACGACTGGCGAAGCTACTATGGACAGTGCGTATGCTCTTCCTATCTTTTCGAAAGCTCTAGAACAATTTTATAGGTTAGAAACTCTCAGTTTACTCAGCCTAGTTCTGAAGATATTCAACGAGCTGTCCGTACTCCTCATAGATGTTGTAAATCTTTTCATGGACCCGCGAAGGAAGCGAAATGGTACCGAATCCCGAGTCTTGGGAATTCCATGAATTAGCGCAGTAGCTCGCTCTCTACGCACTGAGACGCGAAATATAGCAGGAAGAAGGCGATAGTCGATCTATAACAGAATTTCGGAACAACCAGTATCAGACGTGAAGGTATCAGATAACCGGTATGCCTTGGTTGACTATGTATAATATGACTCATTATGGAGCTGGTTATCAAATGGTCCCAAGTTCATCATTGATGAGAAGTTCCGGAATGGTGAGTTATCATGGACAGTGATGATTGACAAGATGAGCTTTGACAGCCTTTCAGCTCGCTCATTCCATTCTACTTCGCAGGTCCCGCAATGGAGTTCTGTAGCTGTTCTTTCAGGCCTTNTTGGCACTGAAATCTTCGTCGATGACCTTTGAGGTATACCCTTCTTTGTAGGACTTCTCAATTCAATTTAGTATACTTCCAACCCAATTTCGTCGTATTTTATGTGCTGGACGACTAAGAACCAAGATTTTCATTGCTAAGGTAGAGCAACATCATTTCGATGATAAACGTAGGATGCGGGTGGAATCATTTTTGTACTGGTCGATGTCCACGGCCAGGTGTTCATGAAGACTTCCATTGCTCTTTCTATGAGGCATGTGGATTGTCAGGAGTAGCTTTTCAGGCTAAACGTGGAATCTGAATGTACTTCGGCTAGTTAGCTCTGCAATCCTAGAGTAGACATGGACTAGGTAGCATCAGTCCTCTTCCATGTACTTCTCATTCACTCGAACGCGGCTCTCGGATTAGCCGATCTGTGGAATACCAAGAATGCACTAACAAGGTCACCCACCATACATTCATGCATGGATTCGAATGCATAAGAGGCAGCACAACAGAAGAGAGAGCTTTTCCATTGAAGTGTCGGGGTTAGTACAAAGTAGTTGCGATCCGCGATGATGAAGACTGACCACGCTTCTTTATGAACACTGTGGGAGCCAAGGTGCCTTCCTTTCATCCGAGGCCAGAAGAAATTCACCTATTTACCCGGGACATCTATTCATTTGGAAGTTCTTCTGACATAAAATTTTCAGAGAATTCACCATACTTATCCAGCACATATGACATAATCCGTTAAAAATAACCCAAAGGGAAAATATCGTGAAAGCTGAGAACAGTCAGTGAGATTACTCGGGGCTTCCGTGGATCTGATTTCAGCGCATAGTTGAATAGTTCAAAGGTTATTCCACGGTGCACCTTCATCGAACTGAAAATGGCGTGATAGAAACGACAGAGCTTCTTTAATTGTATCAAGCGACGATGAGAGACGTCTATTGTGGCCTACGATTGGCTGCTTTCATAGTCCGCGAGCGAAGCGAGTGAGCGCGCGAGCCAGCCGGCGTATAGACCGAGATTCAGCTGTAAACAAAGGGCAAGCGCCTTTCCAATCGCTCGCTCGCTCGCTGTCCAGTCGTGGACTATGAAAGCAGCCATTGATATGATTCGAGAGTGTTTTTTCTCATGCAACCCAATCCACATGATACTACAGCCCAAAAAAAGAAATAAAGCCTTTTACACCAAGTAGCTGGATGAAACTCTATTAGCGACGACTCTATCAATCGTAGATGCTGCCATTCCTGGGATGAGTATCCAGTACAACGGTATTCCATTTGCGAACAAAGGTTCCGTTTTTTCACTTCCATAAGTAGTGAACTCACCGTTTAACATTGACTCTCCGTGTAGCTTCCCGACAAATTGAAACAATGCTCCAAGGCCATTACTGAATGGATTCGGAGGTACCCGTGACTGCTGTACGGCTGAAATTCGAAAACGTCTTAACTATCTGTCACAGATAATTTGTAGTCAAGGCTGTAGCTGTCTTCTAGCTTACTTGAGCAGTTTATTCATAACTTCCGACTCTTTAGAGCTGCATTTGTAAGGAGTACAGATTTTTCGAGGATGCTCTCTTCTTTATGTTATGGCTACTTGTACCGGAGGTGAGTTTGGTCAGTGGTTTGGTAACTAGCAGGTTTAACTCGCTAGACAATTCGTAGTTTATCTTAAACCTTCTTGAATTATGCAGGTCTGAGTAATCCCAGATTACAACGCACAGCAATGGGCAATGGTCATTGTATTAATCGATTCTATTGGACGTGTCACATATGTGTTCCTGGTAAGGGTAAAGGAATCTAAGGTTACCATAAAATCCCCATCCCATGGCCTTCGGAATAAAAAAATTGAAGGAGAAAGTTTTGAACGCGATCAATCTCTTCTGAGGGTACACCCCCACACTCGACTTCCATTCAAAATCGCAGTGGCGTAGTGAGTGCGCATGTGGCCTATACAATGACTTCCTTTAGCCAGCCGATGAACAAGTCAGCGCTTCTATCCTCCCAACCGAGTCCGATACCAAATTATCGACCCCGGGGGATGGAAGGCTTGGTTGCCTAGGAGAATACTGATTCAAGATTCGAACTCGTGACCATGCGTGTGTGACAGTGCCCCTTTCGCCACACCACCTTACCCGGCCATCTAAAACCATCCGATATTTAGGAGGTGATACATTTCAGATCAGTATGACACCGAACAACCGATAGTGAATAGTTGTCAGCCAATTTGACTTACAATTGGAGCAGATTTATTGCAGTCAAAAGAGTAAGGTTCCACTGCCTTTTCGGGCATTGCGCAACCTTGTAATGTCACACAAAGAGATCCGGAAAATTTGTTTCCCATCAAAGTGAAAATAAGATTAGACGTTTGCAGCAAAGTAAATGTTTCATGATGAATGTTGAACCATGGGAAAACTCTCAGCATGGAAGGCATGGGACTGTCATTCATGGTAAATGGGTTTCATAGCCGCTATTGTGCTCATAAAAATAGATTCTCCCATTTTCGGAGAAAAAAACTTGAGAAATGCTGAGACATCCGGAATATTTTTCAAGTTATTCCCATTAGGGTTTTCATTAGTGGCATTGACAAGGAAATTAGATGGCAAATAACGTCCGTCCATCAACTTTCCAAAAATGACCAGAAGAGGGATCTGAAGGATTGTTCCTTGTCTTTGAAGTTGATTTGTGTTTTCATTAACTATCCTATTCGTCAAAAAAGAATCACTCTTTGAAGTCTGCTTTACCTTTTTCATAAGTGACCATGGGGTGATCAAGATTTTCCCACCTGACACATTAACGTTTCCAGCTTTCCAAAAAACTGCTTTGCACTTGGAACATGGTGTATGCGGGGGAGGGACTGGTGCTCATGGGCTCTACGATGTCGTATGTCTTCCACTAACAAGTTGAGACGATTTTTGTCGAACTCCAAACCAAAACAAGCGCTCTTGAAATGAAGGGCTCCAGCGGATTCTCTTTTCAAGGATTTCTTCCCACCAATAGCTTTTTTCCTAATGCGACGCATGTTGAAAAACGAGCAACGTCGGACTTTTTTTGGCCTAATCCCTCTTTTCGCCATTAGAAATGACCCCTTCTTAGGCTGTCTATGCAAAATGTCCGTTACTTTTCTCTTGACAGCTTTTCGTTGGTTTTAGCGCCTGCATCCATATCATGTAGTGTCAGAGCGGATTCGGACGAGTTGTCAGGTCATGTCCATCAATCTCGTCTACTCAACCACCCATCACATGGCGTTTGCACGATTACAAGCGACAGCTCCGAATCGAAAAGCGACGGAACAGGAAGATGAGTGCTTCTTCGCCCTCTTCCGTTCCCCTGCATGCAGGCTTGTAACAGGCATGTTCCACCTGAACTGTCTTTCCTGTAAAGCTGGTGGGGTTTTAGATTCAGGGTAGCGAAGGAAAATGGCTACGATCGGCCAATGCACGTAGGTGTTTCGAAAGCTTTTTTTTTCAGAGGGTCTCGTTTCACCTGCGAAAAATCAACTCTGGAGGACAAACAGAAATCAGGGCCACTCAGAGCCGTGTTTGCTTAGTACCAGCCTTGGCGAACTGTGACGACAAGTTGTTTAGAGTGCCTGATGACTTCTGATTACCCTACTCCTTGTTTTCGTTGAAGGACGTACATGGTTCGCTAAGGTCATTACATCACGCTTGCTGTACATTTTGGTTAAGCGATTCATCTTCGTGAACAACTGAAAGGTACGAGATACATGAAGAGTCGAAAAGCAATACGGTGACATTTAGGGCAGGAACAAAGGGCAGAAAGCGTGGGAGATGCACTTTCAGATTTTTCTGAGAAGCTACCAGGACGTAGCCTGGGGCTGTGGTAGACCCACTCTTGACCAGGAGTCATAACCTCTTTGCGCACCGACTTGTTTGGTAACATTCAATTGACTTCTGATAACTGTAAGTATGGGCGAGAACCAGTGATACAATAGTAGAGGCCATTACCTTTCATGCAACTCATATATCAGGAAGGGCCCATGAGATTCAAGCTCCCATTTGAGGTCGCTTGTTTGGCAGATATCTATGGTACCGGAGTAGTTTGAAAGAGAAAAAAACGGCTTCAAACCTGCATCTACGAGTTGCTAGAAGGCAAAACTACCCATACAAATGTCCCTACATATGTGAATGATAGCCGAGTGCGTGGAGCTTATCGCGTAGATTAATCAATGTCATGCGTCTCATCAACTCATACGCACATAACTGAAGCAACATGAGTCGTTCCACACAAATTGACACTGGGGGAGGGAAGCTGACAGGTCAGCGTGGGTAAAGGCCAATCTGGGGAAACAGAATGTTATTGTTCACAGAGTGGCTGACCATCTGCGGACACTCAGTAGATAACCTTTGACGATGTCATTGTATTTCTTTAGTTCCACTTCCCTTTCATTATGCACTAGTGGTTTATCGAAGACCCTTTAGTATTCAAGGACATCATCGAACCTCAGTTCTAAGTTTTGGCGATTTTCGAGTCCCTGGCGCATCATTGGCCGAGAAAGAGGCCAATTGAGTGCCTGATGGTCGTGTATGCAATATTTGGTTGGTACCTTTGGGCGCGTGGTGGAGTCGATTCCAGTCGAATGACAGATTATAAGTGTCAGGCCGAGTCGTCCATCCATCTCAACGCACATCAATCAATCTACTCGCCCAGCTACCCCTCGTCAGACAAAAACGAGACCGTCGCCTGCAGTTTTCGGTGCAATTCTTGACGAATTCAACACATCAACAATGCCCTGCGATGGAGAGAAATCATCGAAAACCGCTTCCGAAACCAAGTTTCTCGAATAGCGCATTAGCCAAAAGCGTCCCATCTGAGTGACACATCCACATCTCCTCAGATAAGAACAACTCCATCGCATTGACGATCGAGGACAACCTGTTCTAAGATGATTTCGTAGAAAGCTTGAGAAGCCGGTCAAGAGACTTTACGAATTACAACGGTTCTCTGTAATTGTTTGTAAGGAGAATCTCACCTGGTTGCGACTTTCGTGGTTCAAAACGCTTCAGCGATTTTTCCAGCATAAGCAGAGGATTCGTGGGCGGCTTCTTTGCCGATAGTGATTCAGCGCTCCACAATAGATCGGTTGGTGCGGGATCCTTGGAACATGACGGCGATAACCCGACATTATCGTTTGTTGAAGGAGTTGCGGTGCTCAGTACGGAATCTGTTGCTGACGTCTCCTTGGGGATCTTTGCCGACGGCTCCATTTCAGCAATTTCGAACTCGTCCATAGTTCTCTTTGTAGGTCTTGCTTGTTTCCGTCGACCCATCGTCACTCACAAGGAAAGCTAGAAGTCGGTGCACGTATTAGTAATGAGAGCAGAATAACGAAAAAGGAAGTGATGTGAAGAAAGCGTGCGTAGAGGAGAAAAGTATGTGGAAATGGGTAATGGGTGTGAGTCGGACGAGACGTTTTGTGGCCCCGCTCGACTCCGCCCATGTCATCCATCAATCACTCCATGTTATGATCACATGCGGCAGCAGATACAAGAGGAGAACATGGCGAGAGAGGACGCTCACGTTGGAAGGATTGCGACAGCGCCAGCGAAAAACCAACTCATCGTCGAGGTCGACGCGACTCATGGGGCTCTAGCTGACCGCCTGAAATGGATGCAAGGGTGACGGCAACAGCTCCAGCTGCAGCGGAGCAGCCGACGGATTCGCCTTCCTCCTCACCTTGGCAGAATATTTATGCATTTTTGAAGGTGACGGCCAGGTGGCGGTGAATTGATGGAGCGAGCGGCTCAGAGACGTCAGAGAGGGCGAAGGCTTCGTCGAGGCAGTACGAAAGCGCTTCATAAATCAATCACTTTGTTATGATCGCGTGCCAGATAGACGACGGCCCGCTGTGCCACGTTGAATTGACTTCATCGTCTCAGATTTGACTTTAGATGGGCTGAGACGATGCCCACTTCTGCTCAGCTAATTTTTCTAGGTGAAAAGTAGAATGACCTGTGTCTCCTGCTACTTGGCACCATCATTGGATGATAGTGGGCACAGCGCTTAAGCTGCTGTGACTGCGTGCTGAATCCAGGTACGACTCCGTTGAGCACTTCCCCTGTATTTTATAAATTTGACCTAAATAAGACAAGACTTTCAGCTCAAAAGCTGTGAACGCTCCATGGGATAGCATTTATGAAAATGAGGATAATGGATGGAAGCAACGACCTGCTACACGACAGTTTAGGGCCTATTTATGGTGTTATTTTGAATTAATAGATTTGATGCGAAGCGAGTTTTCTAAAGTGAAAGGTGCTACGTAGTAGATAAAGAGGTTTAATTGATCAATCCTGTGAATATGGGCCCAATTGTCAAAGTGATTAATATTAAATTATCAAATTATTAGATACCTGCTCGTAGATGCTTTCATTATTTGACCCTAAAAATCTGTTGTCTAATCAGGTTAGGTCAAATGATGGCCAAGCCAGAGTTTTGCTTTTTCCTTCTTCCATTTCGGTTCCCTCGATTTCGGAGGGAACTCTGGTGGGCAGAGCTCAATTCAACTTCATGAATGGTAAACTACGGTACCACTTGCTCACCCTCGAAAGCGGTGCATCATCGGCCCAGCTGCAGAGCTGCAGCTGTTGGAACGTGCTTCAGAGCGCTTCTGCTTGGCGACCTTCACTCAACAGATTCGTTAGAGGGCTCGACCCACTCGAACACTTTCCAGCAATCCTTCAAAAATGGGATCTCCGTGAGCGGCTTCTTCAAAGGGAACGGCCGCTTTCAAGTGGAACGTTTCGGAAGCTCTCACATCTACATCAAACAGTATTTCACCAAGACAAATCCGAAGTCGCATACTCAGTAGGGCAAGTGAAATTTTTCGATGCTAAAAGGAAAAACAAAGATAAACATAAACATAAATTGACAACATCAGGGACAAACAGAACGGTTGAAACATTCTCTGCACATCAATGGAGCGGAGCTGATCTTTTTCCTACTATTAAAGTAAATATCATGGAGTTCCTCAATGGCATTGAACGGATGTGAAGTAATGGGGATTCCCTCGAATTAAGCCAATAAAGACGAGTTTCAAGTGATTCTAGTGCTATGCTGCGTATTACAAGTTGAGAACAACATGGTATGCCTGATGTGGTAGCTAAACCGATCACTATCTTTGGGCGTACGTGAGGAAAAGTGGGTTGCTTGGGTTCAAGCGAACTAATAGAATGGAGAAGTGCATTTATCCCATGGGTGGCCTTCATTTCAACGGTGATTCATGGCTACACCGACCAACAACTTCAACTACAGCTTCACTAACGTCATACAACGTTTCATGTAACCAACATGGTTATACTTAAAGCATTAGAGGTAATCGATCCAACTCAAGGATGTGATTATTTAATCGCAAAAGAATGACCTTGAACAAACACTAGCTGTGATCCGAGCTATCGCAGCGCATGAAATATTGGGCATGGGAAGTAGGCAATGAAAGGGCATTGGGCATCTGACACCAGACGAAGATCAGACCTGAATTTGAATGTTATGAAAAAAAGCTTGAGGGTTAATGTGCAGTGAAGAACCACTTAAGGTTTACACGATGATCTAGAAGAGGTTAGGAAACACACTAGTCCGTTAGTGAACACCGTTGTATTCAAATTCAAACACACCCGAAAAAATTCATAGAGGCAATAGCGAAATTCAAAAAATTTGAAGAGAAAGCATGAGGGATTGGAAAAGGAGATGAAGATAGCACATTAAACATAGAATAAAAGAGACCACAAAAGAAAAGGAGAAACAAAAAGGCAGCATGGGTAGGAGGTTCATAATTATTTTGTTATATAATTGCAACCTTCCTGCAATCAAAGGAAGGTCGCTTCTCCCGATCAGGGAGGTGAAGAAGTTCATCGTCTTGGTCTTCTAACCTGAACACACCATTACTGTGGCTTGCTGTCAACTTAACGCGGTACGAACAAAGTCGCCCGAGTTTCGTGTGAGTAGTCCAAGAAGGATCCCAATCCGGAAAGTTCACCAATTTCCGGGTTCCTCAAATAATGATACACTGATTGATCTCCAGCTTTTCCGACAATTACTGTCTAATGATTTGCAGAACGAAAAATCTATGTTGATATCAGATTACGCGATTGGCAAGTGATTAAAATAGTGCCTTTCCATCCACGAGTCCCTCACCCGGTTTTTTCCGTGACTGCGATGAGAATACGTCGAGCCGTCAAGGGCCGATTGATGCGCTTGCTGTGATAGTGATCAATTTCTCAATGTAGCTTTTCTCCGTTATCGCAAACGTCAATATAGGGAAGAGTAAACAGAAAAAATGAGGTGCTCGTCAAGACGATTGCCGCTAATAAAAGAGAAACTGCGCAACGTATTTCAACTTTTCACATGTGCCGAATACTGCTCAGAGTCTGAACTCGATACCATAGCGACGGAGAAGTTCGACATTTCATCCAACTCGGGCAATCTACCAAGGATGTTTACCTCTATGGAACCAGTGCANGAGTGGGGTGTGCGACCTCATTGTACCCACTATGTAACCGCCACATCATTGTGCTGCGTCGGGAGTTGCTGTGCTCGAAAGCATCTTTATGGATCTCATAGTGTCAGTCAAGTAGTGTGGAGTTCAATCTGAATACTGGTTAACTATTAAATCCTGAGCTCAGGATTGAAGGAACGATGTATCCATTCTGTCTAAGGTGGAAGGTAGACACGAAGTCATATCTGTCGAGGAGATCCGAGTAGGAGTAGTAGATGACATTCATTCGAGATGCAGTAACTGCCAGGGACTTGGACTTGGCAAAGAGAGGGTGGGGGTGGGGGACATGGCATTGGGCATGGACGACTTTGTATCGGGGATGACTTGAGAGCTATGTAGCTACTCACATACTTTCTACTCCGTGGTCGTCGCTAGCCTCTGTCCCTTTTGGCTACATCTTGTGTCAATGTTAGGTGGGTCCAGGGGAGTAGGTAGTTGGGAAACACCGTCATCAACTTTTTCTTGGAAACAACGGGAGTTCAAAGCTTTCACTTTTCACTGAAAAAGCCTTGCGACTGCTTTATTCGATAAATTCTGAAGTAGAAGTCTTTGGGCGTATCACTCCAGGTGATGCGCCCTCGCATCCGCCCAGAATCGTGGCGGATTGAATGGCATACTTTTACCTTTTGCCACTACAACGACTCCGCTTTGTTCTATAAAATCGAGTAATCCAACAATATTTCATGCTTGTATGACAGCAACTGGTTTGTCGCAGAGAGCAACCTTCAGCGGTTTCGTTACGATGGCTTGCAATAACCATTAAAAAGGCTCTGCTCGGCTAGGAACTGCTGAAGGAAATTTTTCCAAAAATACTTGGTTGTTGAAAAAGGTTTTTCATATTTTCGTCCCCATGCTGGGAATCTTCAAAGATTGCTTTGTCGTAGAACGCTCATTGCGGAAGCATGTATAAAAGCAGATCAATGCGCATTTCACACCCCACCTGCTGTAGCATTTCGCAACCGTTGTGGATAAAAGAATTGCTCTTGATTCAAAGTAAATCTGACTGCTTCTGCTCCATACGTTCAGAGAAAACGTCAATCCAGATTGTGCGACAAGAAACATATATGAAGCGATGAAACTCTCCATTGTCTTCTACAGCACAACAAGAAATTTGTACCACAAGTTCGAAAATGGTCACTTTGACTAGACCGAGAAACCAAGATCTGAGAGGCCAGTTGAGCTGAATGACGACTACCTTCTGAAGCTGGTCCAAGAGGATTCCAGGTGCGGTACCCGCGAGCTGGAGCAGGAGCTCAACAGCCAGTAGCTGCCCATTTAAACTTGTTGACTTTCCGATGCACCTTCGCATGGCTTGAAGACTTAACCACCGGCGACGAAAAGTATGTTCTCCAGGTGGACCATACGAGCAAGTGTCAGTGGCTTGCACGCGTAGAGCATGGGATAGCTCACTAAAAGTTGCTGCCACCCTACTCCACTTCCAGCGCCGGTATCTACGATACTCTTCTGGAGCGCGTCGCTGCAGCTTACGCGAGGAACAGCGGAAAGTCTACTTTCTCCGCGAGAATGCTCGCCCAGAGGTTACAAAGTAGACTCAGAGCAAACCTCAAAACATGCGATGTCATGCTCTGAGCCATCTACCTTATTCAACAGAACTGGTTCCAACACATTATCATCTGTTCCTGTCGCTATCGGATCATTTCATAAATAGAAAGTTCTGTGATGTGAACCAACTCAGGCGTGATTGGCGAGATTTCCTTCTTCAAAGCTGATGAGTTCTATGCTAGCGGGATTCGCAGGCTATCTAATAAGATGCATCTGGTGTCTTTCACCTTTCTTTAAGTTCCACTCATTGCTACTTTCTCTATGTTCCATTCAATATTGCTTTTTACTTCCTTTTTTTCGCAGATGTACATACGGGCTTATATTCGCAGATTTGGGCTGTAGAAATCGCACATATCTCGTTCGTTTGTAGATGATAATTGTCCTAACATCTGTATTCCATGAAAGTAGAAGGTATGTTGGCTGAGGCAAATATTCCTTCTTCGACTTTCAGATTTGTCTTTCTCTCAGCTGCTCCGGGAAGTGAATTTCTTTTGTCTGTAAGCTTCATATTTATCTGCACTTGATTTCTCTTTCCCCCTTATCGCTTCAAAACTGTTTGGAAATACGA